CCCAGCTAATCAGAGGCTGAGGCAGGAGAATCACTTGAACAGCCCAGGAGGGGGAGGTTGCAGTGGACCGAGCTTGCATCATTGCACTCTTGCCTGGGCAACAAGAGCGAAACTCTGTCTCAAAAGAAAAGAAGAAAAGAAAGAAAGAAATTCACTGCTGGACCCAATCTAGAATCCCTAAGAAGAGGAATGAGCGTCCGTGTGATTCTGAGGCACCCCCCTAGCCCTGGGCCTGAGGACCTCAGGGCAGTGAGCACATTCTATCACTGCCCAGTCTCAGAGTCCTGCTGCAGCGCATGTACGAGGAGCCATCCGGGAGCTAGTTGGGAAGACAAGGCTGACCCAAATGGAGCCAGCAGTAACCAGCACAAAACAGAGCCAAATTCCCTGGCGTTGCCGACCACCTGGGTTGTAGGAGTTAAGGGAGGCGAGGCTGCCAGAGGAAAGTGAGTCTTCGTTTGCTGCTTGAAGGGCAAATGCAGTTTTTATAATCAAGGAATAGGAAGGCATTTCAGGAGGTGAGTACAGCGAAGGCCCTGAAGAGAGAAGGAGCATGGTTGTCGGGAAACCCAGAGGCCAGAGTGGACGAGAGAGATGTAAGTGGGAGACTTTTAGTAGAGCTCAGACAGAGTCACGCTTGGATCTGCAACATGGACTGAGCGTGGAGCCATCATGGACCTCACGCATGCCCAGCATGTACTGTAGGGAGATAGATATCTGGTACAGAGTGGGGACAGATCAGAGGGCTTTGTCCCCAGTGGGGATAAAGAGATCACATTATCCACATGATAAGAGAAGATGAGTGTCCTAGGCTGGTGTAGTGGTCAAGAAGCCAGAGAATACAGAAGTTTGAGTGGGAAAGGAAGATAAAAGCTTAGATGGAAGTTCAGAATGACATAATATGCAGCTGGTTCCAAATCGTGCCACTAGTTATGTTATGGGGAATGACTTGGTGTTAAGATGTTGTAAAAATATGCAAATAGGCATTGCTGCTCTAACAAAGACATGAGCTGCCCAGCCTCTCCTCAGTTATCCACAATGTTAGGGAAAGATAGGGACTGCATGGCTAATTCACAGAAAGCAGGTAATTCCACCTGATTTTAGCCTTTTCCTCACTTTCGTTAATTTTATGAAATCCACTAAGCCAAAAATGATTTTAAATGATTCACTTTTATTCTCTGCCTTTCTTTAATTCATAGCCATGTGCATCAAAACAACCAGAAAGGAGATGTAGCAGGAAAGTAGGAGGCGGGTTCTCCACGGCCCCAGCATGCCTTTCCTGGAACTATAAGAATAACCATCTCCACTAACTTGGTCCAGTTGGCCTTTTTTCTCTTGCCTGTTTTCATAGAATTGCTGGGGCTCACTTGGCCAGTTTTCTAGTGATTAAACCAAGTAGGTTTTGCTATGAAAGTAGTCACAGGAAGTAGTGGAATGTTATAAGAAGCTATTGATTAACAAGATGGGCAGAACTCAGTATAATCACTGCCCCTTCCTAGGCAGAGAATTCCACTCTGCCCTCCTGGTTCTTTCTCCTGACCTAGCAAATGAGCACCTACCTGCCTTAGAGAACCAGAGTTTTCAAATGAAGGACTATGGGTTAAGGGTCCTGGAGCAAAATCCTTAACACTTCAGGACATATTGCATTTGCTAGGTTTGCACTGAAGCTTCTTTTTTTTTTTTTTTTTGAGGCAGAGTTTCCCTAACCCAGGCTGGAGTGCAATGGTACAATCTTGGCTCACTGCAAAGTCCACCTCTCGGGTTTAAGTGATTCTCCTGACTCAGCCTCCCAAGTAGCTGGGATTACAGGCGCCTGCCACCACGCCTGGCTAATTTTGCATTTTTAGTAGAGATGGGGTTTCACCATGTTGGTCAGGCTGGTCTCGAACTCCTGACCTCAAGTAATCCACCCGCCCCGGCCTCCCGAAGTGCTGGGATTACAGGTGTGGACCACTGTGTCCACCTGCACTGAAGCTTCTAAGAGCCGTGTAAGTGGATCCTTCAGTAAGAGGAACTGGACAATGGTGTTGAGTTTTTCTGTGTCTCAGCACTTTGGAACTAGCTAGCACTGCCTGTTAAGTTCCTGAATGTGGTGACTTTGCACCATGTGCATGAGGGGTCACAATGAACAGGATAAGCCCTTGGGAATGAATATGCGGAAGCCTTGTGGTTATGACTGGTTTGCATTCTGGTGTTGGGGAGCAATCTTATCAGGCCCCCTGAAATGATTTTTCACATGAATTTTCTGTGTCTTAGCTGTAGGATCAGTCCATACGCCACAACTGCGTGATCCTAAAATTGTAATCCATTTCAGGCTCATATGTCCCTCCTAGAGTATCTATTTCTGGGGAAGGTGTGAATTCATCCCACAGCAGAGCATCGTAACTTTGGCTCATTCTGTAAACACGATTTGCGTCTCTTGTAATGTGAGCTGGGCACTGAAAAAGATGCTGAGGTTTGAGATACAATAATAAATTACACACCGTCACTGTTCTCCAGGAAAGGAGACAGTTGTGTAAACAGGAAGTGCAGCATAGTGTCTTCAGAGAGCCTGTTTCGTCATCTGCAAACATGAGATAATAATGGCATCTACCTCAGAATCGTTGTAAGGATTCAACTGGTTGGAATACAAAGAGCCCTTAGAACAGTATCTGGCACATAGTAAGCAGGATAGAAGTCTTGATTATCATGACTGTCATCATTCCTGCTATCATCATTAACACGATTAACGCGGACATAATGTACATCCACGTTCCCACTCTCTTTCCACAGAGGGGGAAGAGAGATGATCAAGGAAGGCTTTTCAGGGGGGATTATTTGTGAGTTGGATCTTGAAGGGCGACTAGTAATTGACCAAGAAGACAAACAGAGGAGAATATTCCAAACTGAGGGAAAGTGACATGCAAAGGCCTAGGTTTATGGAAATATCAGGCAGTTTAGGAAACTCAGCAGTTCAGGAGTGAGGGTGGATGGTATGGGTAATGGTGAGAAAAGTGGGCTGGAACTAAAAAGGAGGTGGGGAAGACGTGAGTGCTTCTCTTCTGTTCCTTAGTGACAGGGAGAGGCATCTGTGGAAGGTGAGGATCCTGGAGAGGCTGGGGAAGACTGCAGCAGCTCTTGGGAGAATGGCCAAGGCCACCTGGTCAACTTTGTTGAGGTTGGAGACCCTGAATCCATGGGCCACCAAATAAGTAGAATCCATAGGAGAAGAGTGATCTGGGCCATAGGAGAGATTCTGCTCTGGCTTTTCGGGTGCCATGGGTAAGGTTATTTCCAACTGAGGGAACCAGAGAAGACTTCATAGAGGTATAATGTGGACATGAAGAGATGAACCAAGCAGCAGCCAGCCCATGGAAGGCCTTGAATGATGTATCAGGAAGGTTTAGTCCGTGGATTGGTTTTAAACTGAGGAGCAACGTGATCAGATTTGTGCTCTAGGAATGTCATTTTGGCAGGACTGTGAGTTAGACTGGAGGAAGTCTACATTTAAGGCAGATAGATCATTACATCCTCTGAGATGGAGAGTCAGAACTGTGTGGTGCTCCCCAGCAGGGGGTGCCAGTGCAGCACTGAGACTCCCCACTCCTCCCTGCTGTGCTTTTCCAGACCATGCTTCTCCCAGGCAAGCGTGCAATCCACAGGGTTCAACCAGGTTCCCCTCCAGTGCTAGGTGATTTCCAGAAATGTGGGGTACAGCGGCAGACTACATCTTCCCAAAAATACCCTGGGGTCTAGTCTGACCCTGAGCCCCTCAAACGTGGAGGATCTCTAGGAAGCTCAATGGCGTTGTCATGGAACCCAGCAGTTGGTCCTAGAGTCCAGCAGCCTAGAGTCCCCTGCGGGAGCCTCCTTACTGTTTCAGCAGCCCACACTTGCCTGGGCCCACCTCTCCAGCAGTCACTCTCACTCCTGCCCCAGTCGTGCACCCAAACCAGGATCTGCAAAAGCTAATCTTCACAAAGCATCCTCTCAAGGCAGGATGGTCATCCCTAGGTGACAGAAGAGGGAATTAAGGTTGGCAGCAGTAAAGGCACTTGCAGAGTGACATGGTGTTGGTGGACTTGACCCTAGGGCTGGCTTTAAATCCCGTCCCTGTTGGGAAGTTCCAGCTTTGAAAGGATCTGTTCACATCATAATGGCAAAATTGTAGACATATTTTGTAGCCTGGCATGTCTCGGTCTGTTTTGTGTTGCTGTAACAATACCTGGGGCTAGGTAATTAATGAAGAAAAGAGATTTCTTTAGTTCACAGTTCTGCAGACTGGGAATTATGAGAAACATTGTGCTTCTGGTGAGGGCCTCTGGCTGCTTCCACCTATGGAGGAAAGCGGAAGGGGAGCTGGTATGTGCAGAGAGCATATGGCAAGAGAGGAAGCAAAGGAGAGAAACTGAGGAACCCAGACTCTTTTTAACAACCCACCCTCCCTTGGGAACTAATCCATTCCTGGGAGAGCTAGAACTCATTCACACCCACCACTAACCTATTCATGAGGGATCCACACCCGTGACCCAGGCGCCTCCCACTAGGCCCCACCTGTTAAAGGTTCTACCTCCTGACATCCTTACATTGACAATTAAATTTCACCATGAGTTTTTGCAGGGACAAACTGCATCCAAACCATAGTTTGGCATATCCTAGCAAAGGTTTCCTTGATGGTCCATGGGTGTCCATGAGCAGAAGAGCTCGTCACATGCCTCCTTCCTCCTGCCTCACTATCTGGGCTGCTCCCAAGTCTCTGTTTGACATACTGTGCATTAGACACCACTAATGTCTGGGTTCCTGAAGGCCCGTACGGCCAGTGCAAGTGCACTTGGAGTAGGAAACAAGAGTCAATGGATGCTTGCTGAATAGCACTCATCATGCTGGTGTCTCCAGTTGACACATTTTACCTAAGAGGCCCACCTCAATGGCCACAGTTTCCAGGTGAGCGCATCTGGTGTTCTGGGTTTCTTCTGATGCCCCCTAACTCACATCTCCCTCTCACCCTCTTTCTGCCGTAGATCCTGGCGCCCCTGTGAAATTGCCTTGTCTGCCAGTGAAACTGTCGCCTCCGCTACCTCCAAAGAAAGTCATGATCTGTATGCCCGTGGGGGGGCCAGACCTCTCACTGGTGTCCTACACAGCCCAGAAGAGCGGCCAGCAGGGCGTGGCCCAGCATCACCACACTGTCCTGCCCTCCCAGATCCAGCACCAGCTGCAGTATGGCAGCCATGGCCAGCACCTCCCCTCCACCACCGGCTCCCTCCCCATGCACCCCTCGGGCTGCAGGATGATAGACGAGCTCAACAAAACGCTGGCCATGACCATGCAGAGGCTGGAAAGGTAAAAGTGGGCACCAGGAGGGAAGACGGGAGGAGAGGGATTGGCTGGGGAGGGGGGCTTAGGGATTTGGAACATGACTTAGGAATATGAACAAGGGGTCATCCCCACTGGGGGGGAAATATTTGAAAGTTAAATGAGACAAAAAACTGAAAGTCAAAGCGTGGAAGAAGAAAAATGTTGCCAATTGTAAAGCTCTAGAATAATCACATTTATCCGAAAGAAAACTAACATTCATATATATGTATATGCTTATATATACACACAGTCCTCAGTGTCATCAGTAGGTTCATGAAAATTGCAACTTCAATAAAATAAAATCTCACAAAACCAATTTAACCATAGACTAATTGATACAAACAAGACTTAAGTTCCTACAGCATATTTCTGGTCACAAAAATATCACCAAACTTATTAATAAAGACCAGAACACTTCTAATATTAAACATTGAAATAAATGTGAGCTGTACGTACGTTTAAGAAAGATTAATAAAAACAAGGTAGGTGATTACCCAATTATTCCTGTTCAGGGTGGTGGCTAGCCAGAGCGTGTCCCAGCAGCCCAGGGCACAAGGCGAGATCTGGCCCTGGTCAGACATCATCCCCTCGCAGGGCGCACTCACACCCATACCCACACCCACACTCACTCAGACGTAGGACAGTGTAGACACGCCGTTTCACCTGACATGTACATCTTAGGGATGTGAGAGGAAACCTGAGTACATGGAGAAAACCCATGCAGTCGTGGGGAGAACGTGCAAACTCCACACAGACGATGGCCCAAGCTGGGAATCAGTTTTTGTTTTTTGTTTTTTTTCTCGTCAATGTTATGGTAAAATGACATTGAACGAAATTACCGTATTCAAGGACCTGCTGTATATCCATCTTTGCATACATGTGAGTGTATACACATATACACATCCGTACACACACACATGCACGCACAAATTACGTCTCTATAAGCATTAACATTTTGTGAAAAAATGTATACATAGTCATTAATAGCATTTATTCCTGGGGTGGAGAAATGGGGAGAAAATACTTTTATATTTCATATCTTTCTATACTACTTTTTAATTCTGTGAATATGACTTTTATGATACTCAAAAGAATTCAAATGTAAAATAAGAAAAGATGAGGGTTGGCAGGTGTTGGAGGGAAACAGGAGGGCTGGGGAAGATGGGAAGATACACCTTGTTCTTGCTGATGGAGGAAGCAGAGTCCCACGCTCTGATTATATGCGCATGTGCCACTAATATTTGGCCATTATCAAGGCAGCTCCCTCTTTCACCAGAATCTGCCTCCAATCGCTCTTCTGGGAGAGTTGCAAAGATGACCCCACAGGCAGGCCTGCAGCCACGACCCTAACTCACCACCGCCTAGGGAGATCTTTCAAACTGGTTCTCAATTACTCTTGATCGTGTGTGCACGCATGATCATGTGTGTGTGTGTGTTCAAATACCGCCACCTACCTCTCATCCAAGAAGGGACTGGGATTTCCCACTGGGGCTCTGAGGCGCAGTGCTTGACTGAGTGCCCTGGTGTGATAAAAAGAGAGTGTGTCTATGAGGTGCAAAGGATGTGTCTGACTGGGAGCTGAATGCTTGTCCTGGAGTGGTGGCTGCTGGCCACTGGGTCCTATGGATGGAAAATGGCGGTCTGGAGGTCCCGGCGAATCACCAGAGAGCCAAAAGTGAGACGCACAGGCGGGAGCTTCAGGTTGTGTTTTCCTGCCTCTGGGCGGCTTTCTCTCCTCCTGCCTGTCAGCTGAGTGTTCTGCATTTGGGAAAGGAGCAATTCATCTGGAGGTTGCCGTGTCTAGGAATTCTGACTGGATTACTTGTTGTTAACACCTGCCCTTGCTGCAAAAGGAAAAACACAAAATTTAATTTGGCCCCTTGCTATCATTTGCAACTATTCGTTTTATTAATTAGAACAATAATAATTTAAAATGTGGGTGGCACCTTTTAATCTATTACACGTACACATTATTGTCGCTGTCATTGTCATCTTATTTAATCCTCACATCACCTACGGAAACTGAGCAGATGGAGAAACTAAGGGAGGTTCACTAAGTTCCCCAAAGCCACCTTCTCAAAGGGTGGCCCACAAATAGCTTATCTCATGTCTGCAACCATGTAAGTGCAGACATTGAGAACAAGCTTTTACATACCCTTATAGCAATATGACAGAATAATTTCATGTCTTTTGAATCTTGTCATTATAAAGGGCTTCATTATTTTTATATTTGCGTTATATTTTACAAAAGCATCAGTTTGTGATGGATTGAAAATTGAAAGAACTAAACAGTAAGAACTGTTTCTTCCCTGTAGACATTTGGAAAACACTACCCTAGGTAGTAAGTTGAGAGGCCAAGCCTCCAGCCTGGGCCTCTCCAAGTCCAGAGCTCTTTGTATTAACACACAGCTGCTTCCTAAGGACAAGTAGCAGCCAGTGTCATTGCTGCCGCCCCCAACCCCATGTCTACATGCACCCAGTAAGTTTTCATATCTCTCATGAGCTTCAGTCATCAGAAAAGATACTTAGATAGTATATTAATAAGATATTGCTAAATATGCTTCCACTTAAAATAAACACCATATTAAAAGGTTCAGTTAAACATGCTAACTGACAAGTTTTATAATATCTGTGGGTATTTGTGGGATATTTCAGTTTAATTTAGACCAATGGGTAGATCTAGTGGGATATGGGAATTTTGTGGGGGGCTGGGTATGCAGCGTGATCTCAGCTGCAGAGCCAAGGCAGTCTCTGTGCTTTGTCCCAACCCAGATTCATTTCCTCCTTCCATCTCCTTCACTTCCCACTAGAGGTCAAAGCATACGGTTGTCCTAACAGATCAACCAGGATGCAGAGATTCATGCATGCATCAGTTTGACAAGATCGCCACCCCAGAGAAAGAGTGGCCCTCTTCCCAAACAAAGATTGGAGAGATTTTTCTGAGTGTCCCCAATCATCTCCAGGAAGAATCTGAGAGTAGGCCAAGGTCACAGGCCACACTTTTCAGTGTGGGGAGGGAATCACTAGCTGTCCTGGGTAATTTCCCCCTGATTTTTACTACCTAAAAATTCTCCCTGTTGCCTGTCAACATGATTTCATTCTTGTTCTAACCAAGTTTTATACAGAAAGGAAGAATCATTTCTCTATCCTCCTGGCAATTTCCAGTGACCCCAAAAAAACTCTGCAAGAAGGGAGAAGCATTACCAAACACTCAGACATCCTGCCTTCAGAGTTCCTTGGACCGACCCCTGTTTGTGCCATTGCTGCCCCCTGAAATCTCAGAGAATGTCACCATAGGTCATTGGTCCAGACAGACAGTCCAATCCTGATGAAAAAGTTATAGGTAATGTAAAAAGTTGAATGGTGAATTAAACAGCATCAATGCCTGACACTGGACCGTACATTTGCACAAGTCATCTTATCACTGAAAGGGGCCTTGAAGACCATCCAGGTCACTGCCCACAGCAGTGTTCCTGACCATTTATCCCCTGGTCTCTTCTCCAACAGGACCTTCCACAGCTCCCAACATAGCCTGCTCCATTGTCAAGAAGGTCTGCTACAAAGTCCCCTCTCTATTAAAAGTTTTACTTATTGAAATTTGTATCTGCCCCTTGCTGATCTTACTTCTAATCTTCCTTTCCTGTAAAAGACTTTTAAATCTTTGAAGATAGCTACCATTCCCTTCATCTAAGGACTTCTCTAGATCTTATGCCATCTTGTTTGTGTTCCCCTGAGATTATACCAAATCTGCTCTGATTTATATGGAGAAGATATTGTTTTATTTATATTTTTTATTTTTGAGACAGTATCTCACTCTGGCACCCAGGCTGTAGTGCAGTGGCATGATCGTGGCTCTCTGCAGTCTCAACCTTCCAGGCTCAAGCAATTCTTCCACCTCAGCCTCCTGAGTAACTGGGACCACAGGCGCATGCCACCACGCCCAGTTAATTATTTTTTATTATATTTTGTGTAGAGATGGAGTTTTGTCATGTTGCCCAGGCTGGCATCAAACTCATGGTCTAAAGTGATCTTCCTGCCTCAGCCTTCCAAAGTTCTGGCATTACAGGTGTAAGCCATGGCACACACCCGCAGAGAAGTTCTTAGACATTACCCTGCCTAAGCCTGCTTGATGGCACTAAACAATGGTGTGTTTATTTACAGCTTTGGCTCACAAGATTTGGGGGAAGGAGCTAGAGTTCACCTGAAGCAAATTTAAAGGGTCATATTTATTCAGAATCACAGGGCTGCCCTAGGCAGTGGGGGCCAAGCTGGTGACATCACCCACCCCTACTTCAGGACCAAGTATGTGGGTTCCAGAATTAACTGCCAGAGTTTGAATCTTAGACACACCACGTATTAGCTGTGTGACCCAAAGCGTGTAGCTCAACCTCTTTTTGATTTTCATGCCTTGTCTGTAAAATAAAGATAATCATAATGCCAGCAGCCTCATTAGGGTCATTTGTGAGGATCAGATTATTTAATGAATCCAATCAGTGAGGTTATTGCATGTCACACAGTAAGCAGCTAACAAATGGTGTTGAACATTAGCCAGCATGGAAAATTTGTCTTCAGTGACTCTAGAATGGTTTTGATCCAACCTTGTTGGAGATTTTTGTTTGTTTGGGTAAGTTTCCTCAAATTAGATTATCTTCATTCCCCTCACACTTTTTGTGGTGAGCCACATCTTTTTGAAGGTGATGTTTTATCGTTTCAAATTTTTTTTTTTTTGGCGTTTAGATTTCCCCTCAACTTTCCATTCTAATAAATAACACTGCATTTTTTCACATTTTTGTACTTAAATCTTTGCTAGCCTTTACTCTTGTTTTTAAGAAACAAGCTTTTCTTAAAGTCATTAAAGAGTTGAATTCATGGTTATTTAGTGACCCCGTTGTGGAAAGACCTTTTATTTGTTTATTTTTATTTTTATTTCAATAGTTTTTGGGGAACAGGTGGTGTTTGGTTACATGGATAAGTTCTTTAGTGGT